TGAAAACGACAAGGAATAAAGGTTACTATCAATCATGAATGCACAGGCAGATTTTTAACATTAAGATTCACAACAAACACAGCTTTTTTTAATTATATCATTTTTAACTTTTATTTGTTGTATATAGATTTTTTTCATTAGTTTTGTTATTGTTAATAAAGAAATAATCTATAGAGATGATTTTAATGATTAGTGAATGGTAAGTATCATAGTTAGAGGATATAAAATGATCGACATTTATTAATAATATATGGCGGGTATTTATTATTAATTAAAAATTACATACGGTTGGAATGAACAAGAATGTCTCATTGTGAACTGTCAAAAAACAAAAAAATAAATGGCACATTATACAAATAAAAGTAAAAAGCTCAAATACTCGTTATAGACCTGTGTTTGAGGTTGGTGACTTAAAATTTATGTTTTTATATGAAATTAATAAGCAACAATGAATTTGTTCTAATGGAATTTTTAACCCAACACGGCCAGGCTTTTTATACTTAGCAAAAGAAAAATTAGTCCTGTAAAATCTTGAATAATGTCCAGAGGCACAGCTTTAGATTATGTCTGAATTAAGGTATGGCTCGAAATAGTATGCATGTCTCATTATTTCAAGGATTGCTTGTGCTTGGAGTTTAAGCAAATATTTGGGTTTACTTTAGTGTTTGTAGGGCTCTGCAAGTGCCGGCATGTGCCCTATTAAAACATAGTATCAGGCATGGGCATGAGTACTATGTTTTAATAATATACATGCTGGCACTTGCAAAGCCCTGTGTTTGGTTTTATAATGTCAGAATACTTACTAGGGTATGTAGCTTATTTTTTTTTTTATTATATACTTTCCTATAGCACCAAAGAATAGTCACTCTAATAGCGCATATGAACAATTGTGTGGGATTGTTATAAAGATGAAGTTGTGTAAAAAAGGATAATATAAAACATTTGAATATTATCAAAGTCTGCCGGAATGAGCACGATTTATAATCAAAAGCCTGCTAATGTGGAAAACATTAATAAAACACTTGCCGGCACACTTGGAAATTATTTGAGTGCCGTCAAAGAAAAACCTGTCATCAGGCTTTCAATTATATTTTGTACCAGACATAATCTATTTAATTAATTAAAGATTGTGTCTAGTGCAAAATATAATTGAAAGCCCGATGCCTTTGATGGCACTTATTTTTAGTAAAAGGAATTGGAGCCAAAAAGTATAAGATCCTCAATCTGCCGATTTAATAGAATTTGAATTATAATTATAAAGGAAAGTGGTGAGTACAAGATATTCATTTATTATCAAATGAGTGCTACTAAGGGAAAATGAGAATTCGGGCTTTCAATTTTAGCATTTATTATTTATCAGATTCAGCCTTTAAAAATCTGACAGTAATATATATGATACATAATCACATATTGTATATATTAGCAATCAGATTTTTCAGAAACTGAATTCAGTAAATAATCGAAAGCCTGAAGTCTCATTCTCCCTTGGTGGTATATATATAATATACCAGAGATAACTCTTAAGTTGCTTATTATTATTGAAATGAGATTAAGATTGAAAAGATAAGTATAATGCATTTGCTTATATGGATAACACAGATAGAGTGCTTGGCTTTATCAAAAATCTGTGAGACAGAAAATGCTATGGGTATTAAAAAGAACGAACATAATCTACTAATATGGGTAGTGCTGATGAAGCATTTAATCTTGGATTTTATGATTAGATATTGTAATTATAAAGGAATTGGAGTTGTGAAGGATGAATATACTATAATGTGTTTTAATCTACCGAGATATTGTTGTCAAAGGAACTTGTATAATATTTTAAGACAGGATTAGATGAGGTTGGTATATCCTATTTGAGCTATATTTGTATTTACTCGATCAGAAGCTTTAAAAAACATACAAGAATAGCTAATAGGCTCAAATCTATAATACGTATATAAATAGGATAATAAATAAACAAATGACTATCCAGATCAGAAGGAAGAAAAGCATTTTACAAGAATAGCTCACTGATTTTAGAATGAACTTGAATCAGACAGTGGAAAAGCAATAGTAAATGCATTTTGCAAAACTACTTCATTGACTTCTTTGAATCAGAAGGAGGATAGTGTGCTTTGAAATTTTTTTTTTTCATCATAATCAGCTACTAAATACTTTTTGTAAAACACGACTGATTTTTTTTTTACTAAATATATTAGGATAGTACTCAACATTTGGTATTCGCTATATTCAGATTTTAATGAAAAACACTATTCTTAATGAATTCTAGTTCTAACAAACTTAAATCGGAAGATGGAAAAGCATTAGCAAATACATTTTGCGAAAACACCATATTGAACATTTTCAGCAATAATGGATATGCTGAGGAAAATCATTAGAAAATGCGCTTTGCAAGAACTTCATACTGACTACTTTGTAGAATAAACTTAGATTATAAGGAAAAAAGAATTTCATGCTGTGATTTACTATTGCACAATACATCATTGAATTTCATCTTTATTTAGTTATAATGCTCCTAATTTTTATATTGCCGGGTCCCAAATTATAGTTTTTATTTTACTATGTATTTCTGGGTTATTATTTTCTAAAAGTTAAAATTTTTAAATAAAAGTTTTTGCCCTGTTATAAAAATAAATAATTAACTACATTGCCTAATTTAAGATTATAATTTTTAAGATTTTAAATTTTTAAAATTAAAGATATAAACTTTCAAGATTTTGTTCATTTCAGAATAAAGATTTTGGATTTTGGATTTCCAATTTAACAATTACATTCATATATTTAATATGATTTTTAAAACTATTATATGTTTCTTACTTTATTATAAATGTTAAAAGATCTAATAAGATGATATTATATATAGAAACCCTGTCACTAAAGAATCGCTCAGATTTCAGAGATTGGTTCAAAAAATGAGTAATATGCTCTACCGGTGGTGCTTGTTTATTTGTCATTAAATTTGCTAAGATATTAAAATTCAATAATTTAAAATTGGCTTCGATATTACAATATAGTGGTAAATAGTTTAAATAATTGCATAAATGTCAACTTAGGATTTAGTGAAAGGAATCCAGTATGAATAAAATGAAAATAAATCAATTTAATAATTAAAATATGTAATCGAAGTTTACTTACCGGTAAAAAAAAAAAAAAAGAAAAAGATAACAAAAATTCTCTATTTAAATTCTTAATTGAAACATTCTACTCTATAAACCCAATTTTTATTCTATTAGTATCATTTTCACAATATATAAATAAAATAATATATTTATCTTAGTGTAATTGAATCATAAGCCTAGTGTCTTTTTCAAAAAAAGCTGGTATATTATGAGTATAAAAATAAAGATTCCTAGTATCATAATCTATTATTTCTAAAATAGTGGCTTTTCTAACTTTGCCACCATTTTTTAAGCTTTTTTGAAAAAAATATAAAACCTGATGATGTTTTTTTTTTCTACTGCAGCATATGAATAACTTGCTATTCCAAAACTAGCATACAAATCTTTCAATTTTGCTACATGATACACTAATGCATGAATATAAGGTGTTATATTTGCAGGCCAATATAACTCTTTAACAAATGTCTTGGAATTAAAATTTCCTTTTGATTTTGTTAAAAAAATATTTAACCATATGATGGCTTTGGCTTTAAACTGATCACCTGTTATTTCAGGATTCTTGATATCTTTATATAGTTGGGCAAATCTATTCCACAAGTTGCATACTAATATTGCATGATCATTAGGTAAGATCTTTGCAAAGTTGAAGTTGTAAAGTACTTTAAGTTTATCACCCTCTATTAGGAAAGTATATTTCCAACTACTAGTAGTTGCTCCTTCCTCTTGCCAAAATTCAAAATGAACATTGATTCTTTTCATTTCTTCAATAATTTCAGGATATTTGCTATCAAATTTTTTAGTAGTTTTGAGCTTTGCTATTACTAAAGACCATAATCAATCCCAAACACGTAACAACAAATGAAGTTCATCAATAATCCAATGATGTAAAGGAATTATAAAAAAGATTGGCTTTTTTATATATCCATCTATATTCATATAGTTTTGATTAATTGTATTGATATTTTTACTAATTTTCCAGTCTTTTTCAAAATTACTATTCTCATTTTTTTTACAATCGCACTATAAGCAAAAATAATTGGCATTAGCTACCTTGTGCCCAAGACAAAGTGCAAGCATTTTCCAATCTGCTGAAAAGTATAAATGAACTTTCCATAGTCATCCTTGTTGATCAATAAATCCATTTTTTATATCCTTTAAATCTAAAATCAAAAGCGCTAATACAGTTTCTAAGCTTTCATACTTTTCTACTCCTGGATAAAGAACTAACGTATAGTGATAATCAGGTTTGTGTATATTTGATAAATCATTTAGGATACTAAATATAAACATCACATGCTTTATTTTGCACCCAACATTGCGGCCATCTCCAGAGATTCGCAAGTAAATATTTCTTGACTCTAAATTTAATATTTTATTTTGTACTAATATTAGAATTAAATAGGCCAAAATATCTTTAATTGATCTATATGTGCCTTTTCCAACTGACTCTATAACTGATTCAACAATATTTTGATCATTAAAATGAATTTCTTCATCAATTAATTCAGTTGAGTCATTTAATAAATTTGTTGAAAGATCAAATAAAGTTGTTTTTATTTAACTTGCCATATTGTACATAAGTTGTTTTTTTGCTTCAGAAACTGACCATTCACATGGCAAACTTTGACTAAGATTAGCAATTGTTTTATATGCAGATCGTGATATTTTGCTAATATCCATTGCTTTAATAATTGCTAATAAACATAATTCTTCTATATTATTATGATGTTGATTATAAACAACTGAATAAGAATGGCCATTAATAGTAAATTTCATTTTGTTTAATATTACAACATTATCATTATGAAAAACTGATTTAATTTGTTTTTGAGCCACTTGGTAAAAAACAGTTGCATCTTTTTTACTTCTATTTCATTAATCTGATTTACTTAACAATAAATATGGCTTTAAACTATGATTAATTTGTTTTATTTCTTGAATATCTTTTATTTGTTGTAGTTGTAATCCAAATAAAAGAATTCCATTCCACTTTGTACTAGAAGTTTTTTTTTGATTTTCTTCGTTTAAATTTTTTTTTTTTTTAGTTTTTGATTCAATAGCCTATTAAAATATAAATATAATATTTTATTAAATTATTTAGTAATAATAAATTAATAATTTTTTAATATATATACTTTTTGATATAAATTTGCCACTGCTAAAGGACTTTCTTTAGATTCTACATAATCATTATATTCATCACCATAAACAACTCGAAACTTTGCATCTTTTCCACAATAATAAATTGAACAAATAACTGTTTTATGGTTGTTTTTTTTCCCATATGAAGTATGAACAATATAATTATTAGAAATTTTGTATTTTCTGGGTTTTCTAGTATATAATAGCTTAGATTCTGGTGGGTATTTGCCTTCTAAAATAATTTTATATATTAAACTTTGATGTGAAGTTTTGTAAATTATTACAGAATCTTGTGGATATGTATTAGTTTCATATTTATACTTTCTTTGATTTGTTTGTGTTATTTTTAAAACAAGTACGTATATAAAATTTGATTGTTATATAAATAAGTACAGTTGATCTTCTCAAAATCAGTATACATGGTGAACAGGTTTTGTATCAGTTTTGACAAACTTGAAGAATTAATTTTTTTTGACCGATTATAGCAGATTATCGGTTTTGACAGGATCAGTTTTGAGAAGATCAACTATATATAAAAATTTTTAGGATATTTTTATTAGATCTTCAATTTTAGGGTATTATGCAGATCTGCTGATATGTTTTAAAATTCTGAAATCTATTCTATATATACTAATATTTTGTTTTTACCAAAAATTTAAAGCTATATATTGAAGAATTATAATAAAGATATTATTGCCAAAACTTTGATGAAATATTTGATATACATGATTGTTTAGCTAACACAATCAAAAAGCAAGCTTTTCATTTCTTAATCTTTGAGTGCCTTGCTATTTATGAGCTTGTAGAGCTTCTTTACACTCTTCAACTGCTTTTACTAATGGTTTTACTAAAGTGTCAAAGTTTTTTACAAAATTGTCATTATCTATTTTCCTTTTATATAATTCTAATGCTTTTTCAAACTTCTTTGCATAATAGATATATTTTTCTTGCCTTTCTTCTATTTTATTTTCTTGTACTATTATTAATATATTTCGTAAGCTACTTAAGTGGCTACTTTCAGTAACTGGATCCTCAAAAACAAAATTTGATTTTGAAATAATCTTATTAGTCATTTTCTATAGATTATTTTTCCAAGAGATAGCTAGGAGCTTATTATTACCAAAACAAATAAGTAAGTAGTCATGCTATCTTGTTGTTTGTTTAAAGATGTGCCAAAAGTTTTTTTCTTTCTTTGCAACAAAATATTTGCAAAGAAGGTAATAGCTATTTGTATAGGCTAGGCAAGAATATATTCAATTAGCTATATCAACATAATATCTTTTATCTATATTAGATATTATATCTGTAGACATAGCTTTATTCTAGTCTTTTTTAAAAGCCTTCCACCAGAATAGAAAAGTTTGATTTGCATTATACTAAGTCAACAAGAGATCGAAATCTGGCACCAGTTGTTTAACAAGAATATTGATAAGATGATCAAGCTGAGACCTATTATAATTGTACTTATATTTATATTTAAGTATATGCTAATAGCTTTCAGTAATCATAGTAGTTTGGGCTAGAGGCATTGCAAGAGGATAGGATGAACAAGCAAACAATGACTAATCTTTTTTATTATACCAATTTAGCTAAAGATACCCCATAATAACAAAAAGATAGGTTTCTTTCACACAAGTGTAATATATTTGAGTTGAATCCAAAAAAGTATTTTTTTCTATTGGGATTAATAAATGCATATTTGTATGCCATTTTATTATGCTGATAATTTCTTTAGACATTTCTTCTAGATATAAAGTTTTGATATTACCAGATAGAATCCATGATGAGTTAATAAAGCTAAACTGTTGATAAGCTTCTAATGTGTTTTTATTAGTATAAGTATTTGATCTTAGTTTTTTGTCTTTTAAATGTCTGCTAATAGTATTTTTTAAATACCAATAACATAATTGAATATTCATTTTCTACCAGATTATAGCAATGGCTAGAATTTTACCAGCATCTTTGTCTAATAGTACAAATAAAGACAACAACCCCTCTTGATGAAGACTAATAAAGAATTTTTCAAGAGCTTCTTCATGAGAAATTACATCATCTTCTGGATAACTTGTTACTTCAAAATTACTTGATACTGATAAATATAAATATGCTAGTGGCATACTATACCCACCATAGTTTGCATTTATGATAAAAAGTTCAAATTTTTCTTGATTTGTTTTGAATGTAGAATCTATAACAATTTTATTTATATTCCCTACACCAATTTTATTAAACAATGAAGTAGTGAACTCTAAAGCTCTTATGAAATTATTGTTATAATAAGATAAAATTTTGAACCCTCTAGCTATGATATCTGGTTATTCAAGATATATTTTAGATAATAAAAGTGGATTGTCTTGGTTTGTAAGATAAGTTTTTTTGTTATAAACTGATATTCAGTAATAAACCTGTTCTTTTGTATATATTAAACTAATTAATTTATTCTCAATAAGATATCTATATTGATCTGAACTTCGCAAGTTATATTTGAAGTGTGTCTGGATCTATTGCTTTGCCTCTTCCAGATATTCTGATTTATGATATGATGAACATTCATGTGAACACAAATATTCGCATTGTATACTTGTACGCTATAGTTGAGGATTTATTTTAATTATAACTTTGCTTTTGCAGAGAAATCGTTATATTGCGATATGAGATTTACTCTTTCTTTGGATTACCTGGTTATCTGATTTTTTCTTGCTCCTATTGTTACGTGAAGAACATTGGATATATGCTTTCGCGTATTTTACAAATTTTTGTTTTTTAAAATTTAATCGCAATTCTCACAGTCCCCAATAATATCCAGATCCAGATTCTAATGGCAAAATAAGAATCTTGGTAAGTTTAGCAAAGTTATTTTTAATACTTTTTAGTTCTAAAGGGTCAATTTCAGAATCTTGATCAAATGTAATAATATCTAAAAGTTTAGAATCCAACTCAATTTCAAATACAAACTTTGTAAACCTTTTAGATGACTCAGCAACTTGAAATTGTGTAGTGACGAATCTTTTTACTTTATCTATAGAGTACAAAAGTGCATTGTTATTATTATCTGATTCATCACTTTGCATAGTGGTAGTGTATTCTATTTCTTCTATTTGTATTGTGTTTGTAGATTCATTATCAAAAAAACTAATTTCTGGCATTGACTCAAAATTATTATAGCTTTTAGTTTTATTATCAACTTAAAAAATATTTAAGGTATTGTTAATTTGAGAAATTAAAGCAATAGTTGGAACTATTAAGTTAAGATTATCTGTTTTTACTTTTTTTTTTGAAGTTTGAATTTTATCTTGTCTTTTTTTACTATATATACTTATGATGTGAATTATTACTATAGAGATAGCAGAAATCTTGTTTTATTTTTTTTTTACATGACAATAATCACATCTTTTATCATTATCTAAGTTTTGAGTAGAGGCTGTCAAATTATTTATTTTACTTTAATAAAATTTTATATCAATTTGTTTGAATGAGTAATTTAACAAAGATTATAACTAATTTTCACTTAGGGTGATATTACCCACATTATTATTTACTTACTGATCAACCAATAGATATCAGATATTAATTATTTACTTTTTTTACAGTGTGCATCATCACAAGTATCAATGTAGATATCGTAATTAGTACCGTCATTCATGTCATAGTTTTTTGTATTTCTCTTTTGGTATTGGCACCTTTAACCTTCTCCATCGTCGTTTGTTGTGTTTTACTTTTCTTGTTGTTTTTTGGTGCTTTTGACTTTTTTTGTTATCATTTTACTGGATTAGTAGTGTAATAATAATTAACTGCATAACTACTGTTTTGTTTTTTTTAGCACAACAAATAAAATCAAAGCTAACATACCACAGTAATTAGAAAGAATGTAGCATGGCAATTAGAAAATGAAAGTCAGAACAGACATAATACAGTATCCAGATACAGTAGTAAGAATGAACATAGCATGGTAGTTAGAGCGAACATAACATAGTATTTAGAACTAGATATAGTATAGTAATTAGAACTAAACATAGCATAGTAGTCAGAACTAAAAACAGCATAATAGTCTGAAGATAGCATGGTAGTTAGGGCTAGACGTAGCATAGTTGTTAGAACTGGATATAGCATAGCTGTTAAAGCTGAACATGCTGCTAGAACTAGACATTGCACAGTTGTTAGATTCTGAGTATAGCATGATTGTAGGGCTAGACGTAGCACAGTTATTAGATTTTGGAGATATAGTAATTAATTTTAGACATAGTATGGTTGTTATAGTATGATTGTTAGAGCTGACATAACACAGTTGTTAGAACTAGACATAACATGATTATTAGAACTAGACATAGCACAGTTGTTAGAGCTTGATATAGCATAGTTGTTAGATACTGGACTTAGTATAGTAGTTAGATTCTGGACATAGCATGACTAGACATGGCACAGTAGTTAGATTCGAAATGTAGCACGTAGTTAGAACTAAACATAGCACAGTAGTAAGAACTAAACATGGTGTAGTAATTAGATTCTGGAGGTATAGTAATTAATTTTAGATATAGAACGGAGCAGCAGGGAGGGCGAGCAGACTTAAGGTGTAAAAAAGAATACTACTAGATCATTCTTATAGGCCTTATGAGGTTCACTATTATATATAAAAAATATATTATTTTTTGCTACTCTACTTGGCTTTAGAATTAGATTAGAAGCTCTATAATCATGGTATAAATTTTTATATACGGGGATTGAATTCTAATGCCTTCTTTGAGATTGTTAATTTGTTTTCTTACCTATCTAAACTTTTGTTAACTTTAAGTTTGCTAATTTGTCTTCTTATCTTTCTGAAGCTTGTTAACCTTAAGTTCGCTAATTTGTTTTCTTGCTTTTGAATGCCTTTCTGATTGTAAAAATCCTGATATAAAAAAATAGAATAGGTGTAAATTTTTCGGGATAGATATAAATTTTTTCAGGCTAGGTGTAAAAAAATCATGTTAGGCTATTTCTTAAAGGTCTTGACAGAGTAAATTTTTTTGAAAAAGATTAGCATAGAGGCGAAGCCTTCTCACTTTGTGAGTCAAATCTTCTGTCTAGTAGCCATAGCCCTATCCCAAAATTTAGTATTCTTTTTTACACCTTAAGTCTGCTCACCTTCCCTGCTGCTATTGTATATAAAGATATAAAGGGTTGAAAACAACACAATGGGTAATGAATCATGAATATCACATGATCATGATTATTGAGATTCTTAATGAACTACTCAACTGGGTTTTGTATAAGAAGACACAAGTAACAGTTTATTAATAATTCTATATAGATATTTTATTCAGATATAAAATCGAA